AACAGGTTTGGTACCGCGCCAAACTTATCCCGCCTGACACGCCCAACCGTCCGCAGCGAACTAAAGGTGAGCTTCGAGGCACATTAATAACACGCCATGTTTGTTCCGCATTGGAAAATATTCAAATTCGCTGCTTTTGAATGTCAAACGAAGTCCGGATTATTATTAGGATAAAACCACCAGAGGGGGAGGGCAATATACTAAGAAAAAAAAATGGAAATCTTAATTGAGTACAGAAACTGGCGCTGTTCGGCTTTAAGGGAGCATTTTGAACTTTTGCTAGATCCTGTTGCTAGTTCATGTCAACTAACAGGTCTTACTACGATGAGTACTGCAAACCGAGCTGTAAAGTGGTCACCTTAGACACAGGAACTTATACCTCCTCACAAGGAGTCCTTTACGGGATCCACTGAATATGCCCCCCGAGCCGGACTGCACCCAAAAATAACATGTAATCATTACTAAAATATTCAAAGTCAGAAAACTTACCGTGGTTGGTATGATGTTGTTCAGAGAGACGCCAATGTACTCCATCTCACGACGGAATCTATCCGCAGCCGCTTTCCTTCTGTAAAAACATCCTCTCATCGGGCTGATTCAGCGCAGCATAGAAATGACACAGCTTAGAAAACATGTTTTTGGAATTTTCAAGTTTCAGTCTTGCAAATATGAAACCCTTGAGTATATCCAATAGAAAAATGTCGTTTTCTACTTATTACTATGAAACAGTTTCTGCAGTACATTACATAAGTATACCTTGCAGTTGATTAAAACAATCGCTCGATATTTTATTTCGCTGAATAAAAAACACTCCATATCACGGTGATGGAAAGGGCGTGACTGCGTACATCATTTGAAGATGGCGGCAGCTAGGCTTCTGGTGGAATATTGCCGTTTTGGGCCGTTCTAATGACGTCTTTGTCCTGCACAAGACTCGTTGACATTTTTCTTGAATGTCCACCATAAAACGCGTCCTATGCAAGATTCAAATGGTACGCGGTTACGCCCCCTCTATTCCAGGATATGAAGTAAAGATTCAAATGGAGAACGCGGTCACGCCTTCCCTATTCTAGGATTTGAAAGAGAAGAAAGAGAAAAAAAAGGAAGAACAAATAAGAAATTGAGCATGCTCGAAAATCGTGTCTATCACGCTATTAAGTGTTTATTCCGCTTATGGGCAAATACTCGGGTCCCCGAACTTCAAATCCGAAACTAGAAATCTATAATCGATTCATATGAAGTGAAAGCTAGACGAAAGTACACTGTCGTATTCGTAATTCTGCTCTCCTTTATTACATTTTATTCATTGGGAGCACATACAGTCAACTCCAACCCATCTCGCAAGGTAAAACGCGTAAAAATCACGAGCCCAATTTTCGTGGTGCAAAAGCTCGACGCACTACACTACACTAAAAGATGCACGCTACCGTAACCCTAAATTCGGACGCCGAGTTTTTGAAAGTTTCTTTTCCTTTTCAAGAGTTTTTCTTCCGTGTTTTTGTTGTTTTTCGTATTCTTTTCTTTGCATTGGATGATATCCACTACTGGGAGATGTGATAAAGATTTGTGAGCCAGGGGTTGCACAGACCGCAGGGCGGTGTGACTGTAAGGGAGCGATTTTGTTTACGGTGTTCTCGAGGACTCTTTTTGCCTTTTCTTGGGAATTACTTATCAGCTACTGTTTCATAATTGAAAAGCAACTATCCATGACACTTTTATCGCGGGAGCTGTCTTTAAAGGCAGTTGGCACGATGATTTGGTGCTCGGCCTAAAATGCTAGTAGGGCGCTATATAGTGGGGGAAATGGCGAAAGAACGGAGTGAAACGGTCAAAATCCTGCGAAGAAAGAGCCTCCGTTCTCAATGTGTTAGAAATCAATTTTGGACGAGTTTCCTGTAGGCATCTTGCCAATAACCGCTACCGAAGGTACGGCTGCATATGTGTACTCATATATCCATGCAGCATCACGGCCGCTTCATACCAATCCCTTCGCTTCATAATTTACTTAGCAAATGAAGCAGTACGAGCGTCAGGAACGGTCGTCCATTTGTGGGCGGGCGTGGCGGGCGTTCGGGTCGGCATGTTGTAGCTTCATAGGGCCCTTATAAGGGCACCTTTTTGGGAAAGGCGCTATGCAGCGCCTGCTCAGGGTCGCGGAATTCCGTCCTGCCAGGCGTATTAATCCTACTCGTCTTGGGGATTTATCGTGCCAACTGCTTTTAATATACAAGAAAGTATGTAGTAATTAACACATCGCAAGCACAGAATAAATAAATATGGCAGCTGATTATCGTATATATGCTCGTAAGTAGAGTTAACAGTTTAAATGAATTATAGTAGTATGTACATGAAACAAAATGATATAAGGATCAATCGCCTAAAAGTCCAGTATCAATGCCGCAAAAGAACTCTGTAAATCAATTATTTCGATTACTTTTCCACCAACTATTAGGAACTCGCTGATATTACCTAGCATTTTTCATCAGCAAAAACATAACTTTCATAACAATAGAAGAAATTCTAAAAAAACCCTAAGAAGTGCAAATTTAGTTGTTTTTTGGCACCCTAAAGAACTCTGAGAAACCGCACTGATTGAAGCTACCTATCCCCACTTACTTAGGTTCCTGTGGTTGCATGGGTTGTGAACGTCTCGGAAGACTACCTTCAATAACTTTATCCATGCTTAATTCAGCAACTGGTTTTGCATCATCAACTATCGAAACACTACCAAATTCATTCAAATAATTCTTTTCCATACTATCTGAAACTCATGCATTATAGCGTTAAACAACCTCCCTCAAGGGAACTCTTCAGAGAACGACATAAGCACGAAGACCAGGTTTAGTAAAACCCAGTGCGTTAAGGACAGTGGTCCGTAGAGGGGCAGACAAACCAAAGCAAACAGTATTTGGAGAGACGGGTTCGTTCGAGTCGAACACTGACAAATGTGTTTTTGTGAAGTGCTTACAATAGAAGGGCGCGCAAGAGACGAAATAGCATATGGTACGGAGACGATGCCGACAACGTAACACACGCGTTGGCACATTGCCAACACCAGATGGGCACCCTGCCAAATACGCGTGATCGCTTAAAAAAACAAAACCATCACACGGACGTGTTTACCACTTTTCTAGAACTACAGTAGTCCTTCCCCATAACGTCTGCTGAGTGAAAAATGTCGCGGTGCAAGAATATAATGGCCACGTGAACGGGTGGCATTTATGACTCTGCACAATGGCGCTCAGATGAGATCGGAAGGGGGTCATGCTACGCCTTTTGAAGAAGAGGAGAGCAAATGAAATGCAAAACCAATGAGAACGTCAATGATTCAAGCAAAATATTCAAGGACAGTCCTCACGTTCAACCAACTCATAGAGGTACTTCCTGTTCAAGTGGCCTGAGCCGCAGTCTCCAAGACTGTCTCTTTTTTGGCAGCATTACATTAAATAAAAAAGGCGCTGCTGCCCTCATAAGTGGCACTTTCTCACGCCTCTCACTCACCACCTTCAGCCACCGGAAATAAAAATAAAGTAATACTTGCAAATTATAACAACAAGAATAAGTAGTAATAATAACAAAGTGATGCGTGAAAATAAGGCGAAGAAAAAAAATCGAAGTTAGAAGGAGAAAAAAGAAATAAACGTTGTCAAATCCGCAAGACCATAAAGGTGCGAGTTACAGTCATTGTTCGCTGCGGGTGATGGGACGAGCCTGGAAGGCTCGGTTTGGCGCGCCTCCAACACTTTCTCCACCACATGTTAAAGCGGGTAAGCGACACAACAGTTGCTGGAAAACTCACCAACGATATGATAATTTTTCGCTTGCCGGAGAAATAATAGAAAAAAGGTACCGGCACTTGGCCAAACCCACCCCCTGACATGCCCAATCGCTCGCAGTGAAGGATACTGTACGTTTTCAGTTGAGTGTTTCACAAAGAACTTCAACTCACTTCTTTTCTTCTGCTGCCGCTTTCTTCTGATGGATCACGAGAACTTCTTGAACGTAAGTAAGACATTCGATAAGCATTCCATGCTCGCATTTCGGACAATACCACTTGCCACCAGGAACAAACCTTTGAGAAAAGATTATTGTAATCAAACTCCGGATCACTACCTCGCAACATATTACAGGAAAGAAGAGAAAAAAAGAACATGAAGAAGAATCACATCTTAAGAGAGCGCGTTCAGACTTCGCGATCGCGCGATCGCGCTACTGTGGGTGAAATTACACCGGGAGGGGGTCATGTTCGTTCATGTTCAACTCAACTCAACAAACAACAACAACAAAGTTCTGGGAAGGGAGTCGTACTGATATCACCATTTCTCACATCACGATGCTGTATCCTGCCTCCAATAGGCAGTTCCAAAAACGATATAAAAGTAAGTTCGACCTTTTTTGATGTCTTTTAGGCCGTGTTCATATTCGCAATACTGACGATTTGCAGAAACCGTCGAAAGGAAAGGTTGTGTATAGACCTGGAGGATGGCAGAACAAACAAAGCAAACAATGTGACAAAAGTAAAGTGAATATCTGGAGGACTGGCAAAATCGGGGGAAGGGAGAGAAACAACATCACCCGCTGTTGAAAGTTCTGCGTGTCTTACTTTTGGAACAAGATGTTCAATACTCCGCTTGAACGTACTCAGATGCAAAATTCAGTATAATAATTAGCATATTGTATATTTAGTACTATTTTACATAGGAAATAATAAATAACTCAAAGATATTTCGAAACGTTCCTTAAAATTAGGAGGGCGTTATGTACACAAAGGAAGAAAGAAGGAAAAGGAAAAAAAGAACAGGAACAATAAACAACGAACATGACCCCCTCCCGGTGTAATTTCACCCACAGTAGCGCGATCGCGCGATCCGGATCGCGCGATTCGCGAAGTCTGAACGGCGCCTCTATATATCATAATGCGGACTAAATATCAATTCAAAGGACAGAAGATTTTGAAAAAAAAAACCTAATGCAGCCTGAAAGTCGCAGCAGAACGTATATGTGAAAGGGCTAAAGAAAACAAAAGGAAAATAGTTTGAAAAACAACAGAAAGACGGAGACGAACACGGAGAGGAAGAGGTCAACTTGTTGATGAAATATAGCCTTTAAGTTGATAAAATAATGAATTTCAAAACAATTAAGGTGAAGACTTACCACAAAGGAGGCTTCAAACACGTCGTATGCCAAGCATCGTCACAGTTATCGCACAGTAGCAGCTGGAATAAAGAAATGGAAATAAAGCGTGAAATTTGACCATGTGATCACTTACGTCTTGTGAAAAAATTTGGGGATCGGGGGCGGGGGGGCTACGACCGCTTTGCCTGCCGCAAGGCCTGCGGAATAAGCACTGGGTGAGAGACGGTGAGGAGAATTCGTTTTGGCGCCGGATGTAGGAGGAGTGCTCGACCCATTGAAACTGACTGGAATTCGATAGTTGGCATAGGGAGAATCAAAACCTCTATTTGTTTTCGCGTAAAGCTTATCGAGATGTTATATTTGTGTTCGGAGACTTAAACTACACCCAGGGGCAGTATTTGGCATGTGCAAAGAACTGCAAGGGCCAGTCGATGTACATGTCAGTGTCCTTATCCTCCCAGACGAATTTGGTACCAATTGACGGTGCCCAGAGGGTAGAAGGCTTCGTTGACCTGGCTGTGGGCCGATGCATGATTCAAACCCCGAACCGCGCGCGTGCTAAGCGTACCACTTGCCATTACCCAACTCCGCCTCCTTTTCAGCATACTGTTCTTATCTTAAGAGGGTAATCACTACGCCCACGGGACGGCATTTGAGATCAAATTTGAAGGCTGTTATGATAAATAGCGAAAAAAAACAGAGATCATCTTTTGAGCAATTCCAAAATCGAATGAAAAACCCACGATGTCTTCGTTATCACTCAGCTTGCAGGAACCACAAGCAAAATCACCTTCAGCTCTACGTCGCACCTCCTCTTCCTAAAATATTACCGCTTAAAAATCCGTGATTTCAAAATAACTAAAATTAACCAAATGTAACGTACGTCTTCATCTGCAGATTCATCATCGTCCTCCACGTCATCGATGACTTTCTTTTTTCTATGCCGCCTCTTCCTGAAATACTGCTTTATTTAGGTCATCCATCAGGTAACCTGGCTCATCTCACCCTGTGGATTTCTTTGGAGTCTTTGGTTTGAACTCATCATCACTAGTAGCTGATCCATCTACTTCTGCATCTGAAGTGCCCGCGGACCCTTCAGAATCATCCGAAGCAGGAGAAGAGGAATCCTAAAAGCCGATTATGGCTACATATTGGACGCATTGGCAGGTATAGTTGATAACGTCGCAATCAGTTGGGGGGGGGGGGGAGCGGAGTGACCTGCATTCGGCCCCTGTTCTACCAACAGTGATCGGTCAGCGATCGATTTTGGAAAGAACTGGTGGGAACGGTGCGGGGAGGGGTTCGTCTCAGGCCTGTTGAGACCGCCCCGACTGAGTGTGACGATAACAAAAGTATGTGTAGAGCTTACTCGTTTCGCGTTCTCATCTTTTACTTCCTCATGCTGCTCAGTAGGGTTGGTTTTCTTTTCATGAGTTCTCCTTGACGGAGTGATGTACTTTCGAATGTTCGATTGCGCTTTCTGTGATGCAGATCGTCGAGGTAAAACACGACGGTCACCCTAAAGTATATGAATTCATTAAGAAAGAAAAAATAAACAAAAGAGAAAATGACTCTCGCACTTCTTCAACCTCTACAGGCTTTTCTTCCTCCTCAGGGACGACCTCCTCCTGAGGTTCTGACGTATTTTCTAATCTAGCATTACGCCTAGTACGCCTTTCTTCTTTCTCCTTAACCATAGTTTCCCGCATTTTCTAAAGTGTAATAATTATTTCACAAAAGATCTATGTGAGTATCAGTACTTACTTTAATTGCAGCTTCATCGAGGAACATGTCCACAAAAGTACCTTTTTTAGTAACCATATTTATGGCAGGTTCAGCATCACCTTCGGCCGGCTTATTCTAAAATGAGAAGCACATAAAACTGAACTTTCAGCAACTGAATACCCATTATTCACTCACAAATTCGCGTTTATCATTTGGATTCTTTACATATCCCAAATCGTCGGCTTTCAATTTCGCGATGAGATTTTCCAGGTCGGTCATGTCACTGAAAATAATATGAATATGCTACCAAGCTTTCACAAAACTATCATTCCGCTTACAATACAATATTCTGGTTTATAGATAGAAGGATTAAAACACCAAAGTCTAAAAATTATGCGCCGCACACTAAAATGGTCACCTGAGGGAACGCTAGGAGGGGAGGTAATATAGCATAACTAATGGGATTAGAAAATCTGCGCCGGTGATCAGTAACTTTTTTGGATGCGGCGCACACTACTTTTATTGGGAATCGTAGCGGCTTACTGAATGCGGTGCAGCCTTCACAATGACCTGGAGGGGGGGGGGGCAGCCGACGTACAGATCAGTTTTCTTACCCTGGCAGAAGAAT